AGTGTAATCAACACACATTCTGAATGTTGGCGGCTTCTGGGCGAGGACGACGTTAGCTAGCCATGTCGGGTACTTCACCTCCTTGATGTGATTGATTGAGAGAAACATTGTGACCTCTCCCCTGACGAAGTCTCGTCTGTCGGCTGATAGTAGTGCCGCTTCTGCTTGATAGGCGTGGAGGCCGGATCGACTGATAGCCGGTGAGTGATCACCTTCCGGCTGATGCCTGGCATGTCGTCCAGACCCCATGCGAAGATGATGGCATACGACCTTAGGACTAGGAGGATGCCATCACGTTAGTCCTGTGGGAGTTGCTTCCCGATTCTCAGGACCCGCTCCGGCCAGGAGGCATCCAGGGGGACCTCCTCGACCTCTTTGGCTGGTTCGACGTGTGGCCTCTCCTCGTCCTTGGCGACGGTCGCAGTGATGGTGTCTATTCTTTGTCCTTCTCTTTCGGCCGGCTTCCTCAGCTTGAGGTAACATGCTCTGGCTATCCTTTGGTTCCCTCTAGCGTAGCCGATGCCGCTGCTGGTTGGGAACTTCAAACATAAGTGTTTCATGGAGATGATGGCCTCCAGGTCCTCCAGTGTAGGCCGCCCCCAGATCAGATTATGGACGCACTGAAGGTTGACCACCATAAACTCCATGTCAATCTTCGCGCGGTGGGAGCCGTCGCCGACCTCCACGGGAAGGACTATCGTGCCCTCGGTATCGATGGAGTCCCCGGTGAAGCCGGACAACGGTGTCTTCATCGGCTTGAGCAAAGCCTTGTTCAGTTTCAGCTGCTTGAAAGTGTCTAGGTACATCACATTGACGGAGCTCCCCGTATCGATGTAAGTGCAGTGGATGATCGAGTTACCAATCTCACACCGGATGACGAGGGTGTCCCTATGTGATTCAGTACCCGGAGGTAGATCCCTGTCGGTGAAGGTGATCGCCTCCGTCCGCTGCTTCTTCGGTTTTTGGGGGGGAACGTGGAATACCTCTCCAATGTAGAGGGATTGGGCCCATTTCTTCCTCTGGGTGACGGAGTCCCCCCCAGTGTTTCCACCTACGATGAGATGAATGTGATTCTTCTTTGATGGAGGCTCCTCAAAGTCTTCCTCATCATCGCTGAGCCTACCGATCTCCCGCTTCTTCGTAGAGGGTTCGCCCCCAGATTTGTTAGTGTTTACCCACGTATTTTTGCGTGGGCCACCTTTAACAAATTGGGAGAGTTCCCCCTGCCGAATCAGGCGCTCGATGGCTTTCTTCAGCGTGATGCAGTCGTCGGTGTTGTGGGAGGTGTTCTTGTGGAAACGGCAGTAGGTGCCGCCTTGTTGAATGACATGGACTTCCTCCGTCGTTCGAGGAGCTTGTTCAATGAGGTTATGCTTCTCGGCGTAGTCGAGGATGGTGCTGACCGAGTGCGTGAGGGGGATCCCTGGCCGTTCCAGCCTCGGCCGCCAATGGCGGTCTTTCTTGCTCTGTCCACCAGAGCCGTGACGGTCCTGGGCACCCTGGCCGGCCGGGGATGTTCCCAGGGCTGACGAAGGATTTCTCTTCTTGGAGGGGTGGCCTCCGTCCTTCTTGTGGTTGTGGAGCTCGTCGGCGTCAGCGTACAAACTCCCGCGCTGAAGCGCCTTTGCGTATGACCTCGGGGGGTCGGTGATGAGGCTCTTTACGTAGGGGGTGCTGCGGAGAGCTCCCTGATAGAGGACGAGGAGGGTGAGTTCATCGGCCCCCTCAACTTCCTCGGTCTCCTTCGTCCACCGATCTATGAAAGACCGGAGTGACTCGTCGTGTTGCTGCTTGACCGAGAGGAGATGGGTGAAGTACTTCTTCGCACGCTTCCTCCCGGCAAAGTGGGTGAGGAAGCGCTGGGCAAGGTCCTGCAATGAGTCTATACTTCCTTCGGGAAGCGCGTTTAACCACTCGTACGCTGGCCCTTCGAGAGTGGAGAGGAACCAACAACAGAGGTATTCATCCGACGCGTTCACCATCACCATGTTGTTCTGGTAGCGGCTGAAGTGTTCCTGGGGATCGGAGCGGCCGTCGTAGGACTTGATGGCGTTTCCCCTGTACTTCCCCGGGATGGGAGCCGAGAGCACCCTTTTAGTGAAGGGAGTCCTGGTCCTGACCTGGATGACAGAGTCACCTCATCCTTCAGCCAATTCCCTCTCAAGGGTGCTGACCTTGTTCATGAGTGCATTGAGGCCAGGGTCATTGGAGGCACCGGCCGTGGGAATGTTCGCCGATTGTCTGGCCTCCATCTGAGCCAGTCTCCTTTCCGGTTGGGCGATAACCTCGTCCCGAGGGTCCTTGGCAGCCGTAGTGGCGCCCTGTTGGTTTTGCATGCGGACCTCGTGGGCCGTGTTGATCTGGTGGCGCACGTCGTCCTCGTGTAGCTTTCCCTTGCCTTTGTTCAGGCGGGGCTGGTCCGCTGTCCGGGACACAGACCCCAGGCTTTCCCTTGGCGATCCAGGCCGGCGTTCACCAATCCGTCCCTTGCCTTTGTTTTTGTTTCATTCTTAAGATTCTTTGGGTTGGTTCTAGAGTTATATCGTCTATTCTATCTCCGAAATAATGAATTGAGTTTGTATCGGCATTTTTGATGCTGCTATTGAAATAGCTTTTCTGGCAATATTTTTTGTTACTCCACCCATTTCAAAAAGTATCCGACCGGGTTTAACAACAGCAACCCAATATTCAGGGGATCCTTTTCCTGAACCCATACGTGTTTCTGCGGGTCGTACAGGCGCATGTCACCTAGCCTATTGAAGGCAGAGGCTTTTCCACGCGTTGGGGTCGGTCCGGGCCGAAGAGGGGAAGCAGGGTGGGAGTGGGACGACGCCGTGTCCTGGGCTATCACCCCCTCATCGTTGCCTAGCTTGATGGCCAACGGTTGGGGCTCAGGAGGTGGAGTGATGTTCCCCCCAGTCCTTGGCATGAGTGCGCTGAGGACGGTGGGGTTCTGAGCCAAGCTGGCGATGATGACCGATAGTGCGGCCTGAACCTGTGGGTCAACATACGGAGAAGTCGTGGCTCACGGTTGGGCCGTGGCATTGTCTGCCTTCTCTCCGCGCTTCTTATCCAGGCCGATGCGGGCATCAGGGGCGCCGCCGTTGAGCTGGTTGCGCAGATCCGCCGTGAGGTTGATGGCCTCCTGGAAGACATCCCCCCTCCAACCTGGTCGGTTGTGGCGTCCTCCTCACGTTCCTTGTTCTCCTGGTCCTCAGGGGTAGCTTTGCTGACGAGGTTGCGGTTTGACTTAGTTCTTCCCATGATCAGTGGTTAGTTGTGCTTGGTAACGACGAAGGATGCTAACTTGATTGTTGTAGCTCTCAATGAAAGCACCAAATGATAGATTATATTCTAGAGAGAAGTGAGAGATAGAGAGAGAAGTGCAAGTAAATGCTTCAATAAATGATTTCTCAACCCCTACAACTACCTCTAGAGGAAGTATTTATAGGAAAAATATGGGCTGGGCTCCCAAGCCTTGGGCTTGGGAGGCCCATTTATAACTGGACCGCTATTGGGCCGAATACAAAGTAAATGATGGAGTATACAAATGAGTAAGTGTAAAATCCTGTTCTGGGAGTCCTTTATGGCCGACGAGGGTCTGGCCGACGAGTGTATGGCCGACGAAGATCCATCCGACGAAGTCACCCGGTTCTTCTGGCTTCCGGATCATGTTCTGGGTCGACTTCGTTTCGGCCGATGAGGGTCATCTGACCGATGAGGATCCCACTGGGTGACAGCTGTGCTTTCTGTTCTCCTGAGTATGTGGGTCCTGGGGTCTAGACCCACCATATACTCAATCAAATGGGCATGTCTGTATATCCCCAATTGCATCTCAAAAACATAACAAATTCACAATAATCAAATAAAGGGTCAAACAAACAACGGGTATTAACCCTTAATAGGACTAAAATAAGCCCAAAATACAACAATACGAGTACAATACCTTTATTACCAAAATAGGACTAATATATGTCCCTTGTTCCCATTCTACCCCCTTCCTGGAAATAATAGGAGTACAATACCTTTAAAATTATTAATAAGAAAATCATAATTTTATTTATAATAAAAATATAAAAAATAATAAAATATTTATAAATTAATAATAAAAATGTGAAAAAATAAAATTAAAATAAAAAATTAAAATAAATAAATAAAATATTTAAAAAACTTTAAAAAAAGTCTAAAAAATAAAATAAAATACCTAAAAAATATTTAAATAATATGTAGGTCACTACCAATGCGTCCTGTACCTCCCAGCACTATCACCCCGGTCACCGGAAAAAAATGTCATCTTGTGTATAAAAATGCCACATTTATCTAAAAATGCCATGAAGATGGCGTTTTTACTCTTTGAAAATATCCAGCGTTCTCTTCAAAATTGCCATCATGATGACATTTTTCCCCAACATGGCAATCTTTTCCGGCGACCGGATGTGGCGGTGCTGGAAGGTGTCTGAGGTGGTGGTTGAGCTTTGTATATTTTTTAATTATTTTTTACGATTTTTATTTTTTTTATTTTTGATTTTTTTATATTTTATAATGATCGTTTAAAAAATCCTATTAGGAAAGACAAAGGAAAGGGTAGAATAGGAAGAATTACTCCTACTTTGGGAATTTAAACTTTATAGTCCTATTGTTGCAATTATCCTTTGATTTAGTCCTATTTAGGTAAATCTCCCAACAAACAACATTACATTGTGATTTAAATCTGAAAAATAGAAAGAAAGAATTTTTAACACATTAAACATTTAAACATATATCAATACATTAAATGGAGAATATTAAAAAGCAAATAATAGACATGAGAAAATATTTCATTGAATCACTCATAACATGAATAGACTAGTTCATATTGAATGGAAGACTCGGCTTTATATTGGCACAGGTGATGGCTCCATCGTATCTATGTTTGCTTGATATGGTTATTATTGTTCCCTTCTATTTTATTTCAATTGATTAATAATAATTTATTTACATAAAAGGAAGAAGAAAAAAAAGAGGCGAGTGCACGCATGCACAATTCATAGGCCGCTTAGGCGCTTACAAAAAGAGATACTCCGTACTAATATTCTCATGTATGCACTAATACTAATATTAGTGCACGCATGCACTAATATTATCAAATATCAATGAGATGTCTAATATCAACAACTAAAAGATCAAGAGCCGCCTTGAACAATTGAACTAAAAGATCAATGAGTGCATCCCGACTCAATTTAAAAAAAAAAACAGCCCTCATGAGCCACCCCAACAATTGTCTCCCTAATACTCATAAGCTCAGTTTCCGATGGGGACCATCCCACCTTTCTACATTAGCTATGTGCTTAGAGAAATTTTCCTTAATCATTCCGAGCAATCCTCTTATACCTCTACTTTCGTTAGACGTATTTACATTTACTTTTCCTCCTCGGTCAATATCCGCCAACTCGCCGCATATGTCTCTTTCTTAGTAGGCTTCCAGGCCACAGCCCTATCTTATATGTAGACACGTCATGTACGGTCACAACTCCATGTACATACCTTGAACAATGTTCGTGATCCACCGATCCCTTATCATATGTAATCAACACAAGAAGCCATACATTTCAGTATGGGACAATACATAATATCCACCAATATAAAATCACTTTCCAAGTCTCTCAATTATGAAATCTGATCATTAAATGTCCTCAATCCGAACATAATGTTGTTCTTTGATGTATATATCAAAAGCCTTACAAGTCGTACATCATACATTTACATCTTATTACCCATAAATAAGAAACAAAATAACAATTTTCATGCTCGTTACCATTTTACAATAAACAATACAGGGGTAATAATAGGGATACCAAAATAATGAAGTCAGGGCAGAGGACAATATATGCAGACTTACTTCTTACAACAGGGAGAGGGAACACCATTACTACTATTGCATGTTGCGTGTTACCCCACCTCTTGCTATAGTCCTACAAATATCAAGGCAAAGTAATTAAAACAAGGCTTGAGATATGTTAACCTGATAGTTATCACAACTGATTCATGGAACTCATTTGCATTGGTCAATGAGCACAATACATTTCCTTGAAATGGATTTAAAAATTTTGCTTCTTGCGATGTTTAATACATAGATCTAACATGTATGAAAAGTGAGTATGGTTAGGCTTAAAATGGCTAAGTCTACTGAATTTACTAGAAACTAATTTTGTTGAATTAGGATGTTTTTACTTGGACTGTAATTCGTCTCAGACCAAACCAGACCAGATCAGACCAGACTTGGATAGTTATAAAAATACAAAGAAACCAGACCAGACCAGACCAGTTCAGACCAGACAAGCAAATTACAGTCCCAGTAAAAACATCCTTAATTCATTTCATCCGTTCTAACCAAAAAAAGCAACCCATGCACTACTTTTTCCATTTGGTGATTGTGACAGTTGTTGGCATTTGATGAAAAATAGGTTGATAGGGCTAATAAGCCAAAAGCAAATCCTACCAAAAGAACTTTAAGATTTATAGCATATTAAGATTTATATGTTGGCATATATATTTCTATATATAAATTTATTATTAGATGTGGATCATATGTATATATGTTAACAACTGGAACGTTGCATAATGTATTGGCAAGTCAAAGATTATAAACAGAGGCTGTAAAGTTATTATCATCTTCAAAGTGATTGTACTAAATAACTGCTAACATCAAGAGAAGGCATACCTTCCAGGAAGAAGCTGAGAACTGTTGTTGACAGGACCCTTGGAATATCCAAATTGTTTTGCCCTACTCTCATGTTCCTTCTCAACTCGCATTGCAGCGACCTCCTTCTCCATGGAAGCAACCTCCCTTCTCATTTTTTTAGCTTCAACCTCCATTGCTTTTGTAAGGGTGTCTACTTTCTTAGCTAACATCTGAGAAGAATAGAATAATGTTATAATGTTTATGCAAGAGGAAATTTTATGTGGCTGGCTGGGTAGGAAACTGACCTCTATAGCATCATCCTTGTCTTTAAGACTTTGATCCTTTTCATGACCGGCTCGCCTCAAAGCAATCACTTCCTTCTGAAGTAAATCATACAATACTCCTGGCACAGTATCCTCTGTAACTTGTAGTAAGTCATCTGTTTTTTCGCCCTGGTTTCCTTTCAAGGTATTATTATTTTGAGCCTTGCTATCCTTGGCCCCATCACATGACTGGCTTTGCTTAAAATTTGGACCGGTGCAACTAAGAAGGTTTTTACCCCTGTCCAATGATGACCTTGAGCCACCATCAAATGACTTTGATGTCCCTTTTGCATTCTTCAACACTGCACTAGTCCCGCCAGAAGAAGATCTCAGCTGAAAGGACGGCGATCTCTTTGGTAAAAATCCATTAGAGGTCAATCTTGATACACTTTCAACTCCACCTAATGATTGACGGCGTGAAGGGCCGTTATTTGATGAGCACTTTCCGTCCGGGGTGCTGCGAATGCTGGTGCTAGATGATCTTAAAGTTTCTTCTAAAACCTTAAGTCTCAGATGATATCTTTCCTGTGGTAACAGTAACAATAAATCCAGTTTAGGGACATACATAGGCAAGGAGACACAAGTCAGACATGGCATTTGAAGACTTACTTTCAACTGCGCTTCTGAGCGTGCTGCTCGTTCTGAAATTGCCAGCTTTTCCCGCAGTTGGTGCATTTCTGCCTGTAGCCATTACAGACCCCAATCCCAATAATTAAGAGGCAACCATCACAATTCAAAGAAGAAACAGGCAAATTAAGACAAAAACAGAATTGGATATCTAATATGTTTGGGAGCAATCAAAGGCTGACCTGCAAGAACCTTCTCTCTTCCAGCCACTGCTTTACAGGCATTACTTTATCATTAGAATCTTTCCATTCATTAGCGACCACAGTTGCCACTCTGTTTGCGGTTACCTTGGCACGAGCCAGCTCTCGGTCAAGAGTTTTTCTCTCTTCCTGGAAACAAACAGAACACTTTAAGGTCCATTTAGAACTTGTAAAATACTATGGAAGGAAAACAGAGAAGAAATCTTGAAGCAAAGAAATCTTCAATAAATAAATTTAAGATAATTGTTAGAATTGATTTTATATATCTCCAGTATTAAAAGCCTTAGAAATAGAAATAAAGGGATTGTTTTGAAGAGCTCAAATCAAAGTTGACTGTCCTTCATATTTTCCAAGGTAAAACCAAACATTTGAACAAACTATTTTCCTTGAACAAAATTTTCTTTTTTCTTCCATTTTCCGCACTGGCCTCCTAAATGATTTAGAACACTTTGGACTTTTCACGATGTGTGTGGGCAGGTGTGATAAATGCACACATTACATTCAACTCTTGCACTTTGCGTTGGTAATCTCTAACAGCATTTGCCGCTGCGCCGCCGGCAAGAACAGCTTCTTCAAGCTCACGCACAGTTTGCGTAAGCTTTTCAACTTCGGCAACCTTTTGACGATGCATTTTATCCAAAATCTTGTTCTCTTCCTAAGACAGTTTTGTATAAACGTAGAGATCAGAACACTGCAAAATTTTAAGTGTTTCAGAAAGCATAAATACATGTTTGACATATCATTTCCTACCTGGCAAATTTCTATCTGTTTCATCAATTCTTGATTCTTGTTTTGGAGATCATCCACCATAGATGCTTTTGCAACCGCTGACTGGACTGTTCTCTCGGCTTCAAGTAAAGCTGCCTCCTTTGATTTGGTGAGACGATCCAATGCCTTGTTATCATCTTGAAGCTTTGCAATCTGTATAGAATAAAAGTAGGAATTCATTGATGTGAATATGTATTTTACCTAACTAGAGTCACATGTTGAATGACAAACACAACCCGAAGTCACTCACTTCTTGCCGAGCCAACTTGAGTTCCGCCTCCAAAGGTGCAAGAATTGCTTCAATTGGAGGCATATCATCATCCTTTTGAGCAGCATGAACTCTCCTAAGTGTGGCTTCTGCAGCAAACTGTGCTGCCATTGAGGCCTTCTTTTCATCATTTATTTTCTTAATTTCAAGGTTCTGTCTCAACAAGATAAAAAAAATCAGTCAAATAAAGCTTTTGCAAGGGGAGAAGGTTTCTAATGAAACTTAGAAGAGAAGTTTAATTTCTTACTTTGCTTTGTAGAAGAGACTCTGCCAACTTGAGCTTTTCCTCGGTCCTCATCAACTCGTCAGTGAGCTGAAACAATAAAGTGTAACCAAGATATGTTAGAACTTAGAACTTTCTGAATTTATAAACAACCCAATATCTGTATTTGTCTAAATATCCCCCACCCCCCACCCCCCCAAATAAATAAGAAGTGATTATCATTCACATATCAATATCCGGTTATATCCCTGATCTCACCAACATGTGAGGCCAACACAGTTTACATACTCATTTAAAAATTAAAATTTGAATCCTAATTTCATATTATTAAGATACTTATAAGGAAATAGCAATTGACTAAGAAAGCCATAAACACAATTGGTTATACAGTATATGAATATAGAGGATGATAGGAGAGGCACCAGAGAGGGCAGCATTAATAATCACAATTGCTATCACTTTTCACTTTCCATCAAAAGAAGGCGCCGGATCTAAAAAAATTGACTACATTGAAATATTGGTACTTTGAATTTTTGGAGTCATAGATTGATATTTCAATATTGATAGCTAAAAAAATGAAATAGTTATTGTCCTAAATAGGACTAATGAGTCTCTAAAAAGCACAAATAGGACTACTACTTTTTAAATTCCCCAAATAGGACTAAACATTGATTTTCTACCCTAAATACCCTTAAGGGTATAATTCATAATGAAATGTTTTAATTCATAATAAAATCATAAAACAAAATAATAAATCGTAAAAATAATAAAAAATCGTAAAAAATAATAAAAATCGTAAAAAATAATAGCAATTAATAAAATATTTATAAAATAAAAATTTTACAAAAAATTGAATTTAAAAAAAAATAGTAAAAACCTATAAAAAATATATGGATACATTTCCCACCGCCTCCCAACACCACCACCTCTGATCGGTGAAAATTCTGCCACTTTTGTAAAAAATGCCATAATTTTTTGTTCTCGAAACATCATGTCAAGTCTGTGATTTGAGCGCATAAACTTCAAAAATTCATTGAAAATCCTCAAATTCCAGATCAATTCATCACCAGTAATGATGGCGCGACAAAGACGATCAATGAAGCTTATTGTGTTTGGGAACAGCAAGATCAAATGTTGTTTTCGTGGTTATTGGCATCTCTTTCCGAATCGTTTCATTCTCATGTCATCAATTGCACCTTCTCGTATCAACTCTGGAGTGAAATTGAGCATTTCTTCCGGTCAAACATTGTCGCGAAGGCTCGCCATCTGAAATCCGAGCTGTATAACACCAGAAAAGGTGATCGCTCCATTTGTGATTATCTCCTTCGTATACAGACCATCATTGATAATCTTACTTCCGTCGGTGATCCTTGACGGTCTTCCTGAAGAATATGATTCAATCGTATCTTCCGTCACATCCAGAAGTATTCTAGATCCCGTTACTGTATCCGAACTTGAGTCTTTCCTGCTAGCTAAAGAGCTGCGAATAAGAAAGCTTCGAGACTCTTCGCAACAGACTTTATTCTCTGCTAATGTTGCTCAGTTCGAAGAAGCACCTTCACAAACTGATACTGATTCTCAAAACTCCTTTGAGAGTCCATCTGCACAAATTGCTCAATATGACAATTCTAGTACAAACACTACTTACAGAGGTAGAGGTCGTGGTGGTTTTAACAGAGGAAGAGGTGGCAGATCTGGTGGTCGCAGTTCTTTCATTTGTCAAGTTTGCAGCAAGGTTGGTCACAGTGCTCTTATTTGCTATCACAGATATAATCTTGCCTACACAGTCTCTAATTCTACATTACCACATCATAATCCTACCTACACAATCTCTAATCTTGCTTTACCAAATCCTTCTGCAAATCCTTATCACTCTTATCCTCCACAACCACTCTCATATCCAAATCCTTCTCCACCTCTATCAACTCATCACAATAACTATCCTCCACCTCATCCTCATCCATATCAACAGTTTACCCAACCAGCACCAAGCTACATCCCCTCTCAGCCTTCTCAAAATACAAATTGGGGACCTGCTCCATCATCATCTCAAAATCAACCTGCTCCAACTACAACTTGGGCTTCTGCAAACACTTCTTTGCTAGGACCACCACCTAATGTTCAAAATTGGTGCACCATGTCACACCTGATCCTCTCAACATTACACACAGTGAGCCACTTGCTACCTCTGACAAGCTATTCATAGGCAATGGTCAAGGTTTGGACATTAAGTCGATTGGTTTCTCTTCCTTTTCCTCTCCTTTTCATCCTTCTTATACACTCTTACTTAACAACATTCTTCATGTGCCTTCCATAACCAAAAATTTACTTAGTGTTCGTCAGTTTGCAAGAGATAATAATGTCTTCTTTGAGTTTCATGCTCATGAATGTTTTGTTAAATCACAGGCTTTTAAAAAGGTCCTCCTACATGGCATCCTACGTGCAGATGGTCTCTACAAGTTTCAGTCCCTTCCAGCTCTTGTTTCCAGTCAAAATAAGTCCTGTAATCATGTTCAGTCTTGTAATAACTCTCTTTCTTGTAATTTGTGGCATTTGAGGCTAGGTCACCCTCACTTTGAGGCTCTACAATCTGTAATGCAACATTGTAATGTTCCTTCTATTAATAAAAGTGACATTGATTTCTGCTCTTCTTGTTATCTTGGTAAAGCACATAGACTCCCATCTTTTCCCTCCACTACCACTTTTCACTCACCATTTGAACTGATATACACTGATCTTTGGGGACCAGCTCCCATGTTATCTTTTGATGGCTATTCTTACTATATTTCATTCATTCATGCTTACATAAGATACACATGGATTTATTTTCTGAAAAAGAAGTCTGATGCTCTTACTGCCTTTCAAAACTTTTACCAATATGTTCTCAATCAATTTTTTGTTTCCATTAAATCTCTTCAATCTGATTGGGGAGGTGAGTTTAAATCTCTCACTACATTCCTGAATGCTAAAGGCATCACACATAGAATCATTTGTCCTCACACTCATCACCAAAATGGTGTAGTTGAGAGAAAACATAGAACAATTGTTGAGAAAGGTCTGTCTCTTCTAGCCCATTCTCATTTACCTCACAAATTCTGGGATACTGCATTTACAACCTCTGTTCATCTTTCAAATAGAACTCCTTCAAAGTCTATTGCAAATTCCAGTCCATATTTTAAGCTATATGGTTCAATTCCAGATTATTCTTTTCTTAAAGTCTTTGGATGCTCATGTTTTCCTTTTATCAGACCTTATAATAAACCCAAAATGAATTTTCACTTTGAAGAGTGTGTGTTTATAGGTTACTCCTCCCAACATAAAAGCTACAAGTGCCTCTCACCATCTGGCAAAGTCTATATCTCCAGAGATGTGGTTTTCAATGAGTCCAAATTTCCTTATCATGTTCTTTTCACTTCAGTTTCTCATCAGCCTTGTGTCTCCGCTACTTCACAGCCTTTTCCCATAACCATTGTCTCTTCTAATTCCTCTTCCCAATCTGATTCTTCTTTCTCTACTTCTTCTTCATCCCAAACTAATTCTTCTCAACCAGGCTCTACTCCCTCCCACTTACAACCTTATTCATCCCAGCCTGCTAATGTTTCCACTTCTTCTCCTTCACAGTCTAATTCATCTGCATCACACCAATCATCTTCTTCTGAATTCAATGTTCCTCTAACTAACACTCATCCTATGCAAACCAGAGCCAAATCTGGAATTGTGAAACCTCGACTTAATCCAACCTTACTATTGACTCATGTTGAGCCCAGGTCAGTCAAGCAGGCACTCACTTCTCCTTAGTGGTCTGCTGCAATGAAAACTGAGTATGATGCATAGATGTCTAACAATACTTGGTCTTTAGTTCCTCTTCCTCCGGATAAACAGGTTATAGGCCGTAAATGGGTCTTCAGGGTGAAAGAAAATGCAGATGGTTCCTTGAAAAAATTCAAAGCAAGACTAGTTGCTAAAGGACTTGTGAAGCCTATCATAATCAGAATACTTCTAACTCTTGTTGTATCTCATCACTGGCCTATTCAACAATTGGATGTCAATAATGCCTTCCTTAATGGAGATTTAAGTGAATAAGTGTACATGGTTCAACCTCCAAGATTTCAAGTAAAAGATACATCTTTGGTTTGCAGACTTCACAAGTCCCTATATGACTTAAAACAGGCACCTAATCCCTGGTTCTACAAACTGACTTCAGTTCTTTATAGTGATGGGTTCAAACAAAGCAAGTGTGATCCTTCTCTGCTTCTCTTTGCATCTTCCGGTATCCTCATCTACGTCCTTATCTATGTTGATGACATTATGTCATTGGCAATAATCCTTCAGCTATACAAACACTCATCAACAAACTGAACTCTTCTTTTTCTCTTAAAAATCTGGGAGACATTGATTTCTTTTTGGGAATTCAAGTCCAGAAACTGTCAGATGGAAGCCTACATCTTTCTCAAGTCAAATATGTCAGAGATTTATTGCATCAAGTTGGAATGCTAGATTCCAAAGGAGTCATGACTCCTATGATCAGTACTTGCAAACTTACTCGTGAAGGGAGTGAATCCCTACCTGGTCCTTCTTTCTACAGATCTGTAGTAGGTACTCTGCAGTATGCTACTTTAACAAGACCTGAAATTAGCAAAGCGGTTAATAAAGTTTGGCAGTTTATGGTTGCACCTCTGCTCACTGGAAAGCGGTCAAGCATATCTTGTGTTATCTCTCTGGCACCGCTACACATGGACTTTTTATCCAACTCATTCCTCTATCTACTATGCCTCTACCTATTTCAGCCTTTTGTGATGCTGATTGGGCTTGTGATCCTACTGACAGAAAGTCCACATCAGGGTTCTGCACCTTTCTTGGTCCAAATATCATTTCTTGGTGGTCCAAGAAACAATTGTGTGTTGCCAGATCCTCAGCAGAAGCTGAGTACAGAAGCATGGCTGATACTGCAGCTGAACTTCTTTGGGTTCAGTTTCTACTTCATGAACTCAAGGTTCCCTTTACCACTCCAAGAATATACTGTGACAATCAAAGTACAGTCCAGCTGGCACACAACCCTGTTCTACACTCTCGCATTAAACACATGGAGATGGATCTATTTTTTGTGAGAGAGAAAGTTCAACTGAAACAACTACAAGTGTTCCACATTCCTGCTCAACATCAACCGACTGATATTCTAACAAACCCCTTGTCTGCTTCATCCTTCATTGCTTTGAGAAACAAAATTAGTGTCATTGCATCTCCAGCAAAATCACACTAGGTTTGAGGGGGAATGTTAGATATAGTATACGAACTGTATTAGTATGCATTAGTTATGTTCAGTTAGTTGGTTAGTTTCAGTTAGTTTCAGTTGTACTGTAACCTCTATAAATACTCTCCGTAATCTTTCATTTCAGTTTAATGAGAATAGTCTTTCTTCCTCATTCATCCTTCCTCAAATTCTATTAAATGGCATTATGACTCTTCATTATGCCAACATTTTCATTGAATCTGCATCATTATGGCATTACTAAAAATGTTGGCAGATTTTTCCTCCGGTTATAGGATCTGGTGGTACTGGGGTGGCAGAGGTGGCAATGTTTTTATTGAAGTTTTAAATTTTTTTAAAAGATATTTTATAAATATTTTATTAATTTTTTACAATTTTTATTATTTTTTATGGTTTTTATTGTTTTTTATGATTTTATTATAATTAAAACATTTCAAAAGCTACATGGGTATATTTGTCCAAACACACATAAATAGTCCTATCAGGGCATTTTTAAAAATGTGGTCCTATTTGTGCAATTTTTCCACTTTTTAGTCCTATTTAGGTAATTGACTCAATGAAAATGGGCCACAGTTTGTAAGTATTTTTGGATTTTTTTAATGAAACTGCGCGTTATTTCATATTTATTTTCCAATACTTCCTGATTTTTTGGAAATGCTGCGGTATCATTAGATACTTAAAGACATTTCACAACTTTCTTCAAATTCTAGAAAAAATATGTTACCCCGATGAAAACAAAAAAAATAAAAATCAACAGGGTAAACCTTTGCCCAGAATAATCAATGGTAGAAACCGTTGCACAGAGCCAAAAGGCTGAATCCAACTTTATTCCAAGATAAATAGCAAGAATGAACCCTGACAAGGGGTATAAATAGCCTTCTAGTAAGAGACTAAACAGAAACCCTATTCTAGCCCAAAATAATCAAATCCTAATTAAGCCCAAATTAACACTACTAACTACTCTACTAATAATAGGCCCACACTAGAAAACATAACATAAACTTTATAATAATAAATAAAACTATAATCGTAGCCCACAACCAGCCCATTGAGGTGGGCCCAAGCCCGTTCCCGCCCCTTGCTCTCTTTGTTCTCTATCAATCCATCCTCCTTCGAAACAACCTTGTCCTCAAGGTTGAAATCCGAAAACCGGCTCACATTTGTCCCCCGAGGCTGTCCAGTATCTTTAGGAAAGTTGCCACTCGATCCTTTCAGCCCGCTCATGAAATACCCAAATAATGATCATGAGATAGCCTTGGGACCTGACCTGTTAGTTGAACAAAAATTGAGATGCACTCCTCCGCAGTCCTTATCTGCTTGACTCCGGACAGCCATTCGAAGCGATTGCCCTTAAACCGTGAGTCAAAACGAGCCATCAATGCATGTGTAGGCTCATCCCATGACATGCCCGGCTTTCGTGCCCATAACCAGGTCAACCAGTATACGGCTGACCCTTCCATCACAACTACAGAAGCTGCCACCTTTCCCGGCAAAGTCCAATTCAGTTTGAACTGTTGCTCAGCCCTATCAACCCAGCCGATCGGGTCTTCTCCGTCAAACGAGGGCAGCGTCATGAGAGAGGTACTGCACAGTCCAGTTCCGAACGAGGATGCTGCTGCCGCATCTCTGCCAGTTGGATTCCTTGCGTGTCCAGCTTCGCTCCCCGCGCGTCAGGCTTCGCTCCCCAAGCATCCAGTTTCTGGTTGATTAGGGCTTGCTCGGCTTCCATCTCTGTCAAACGTTCGGTGATTGATCTCATCATTCCAGCGGGACGGGATCCGGCAGGTCGGACCAATTGATGAAAGCAAAAAAATAAAAATCAACAGGGTAAACCGTTGCCTAGAATAATCAACGGTAGAAACCGTTGCCCAGAGCCAAAAGGCTGAATCCAACTTTATTCCAAGATAAGCAAGAATGAACCCTGACCAGGGGTATAAATAGCCTTCTAGTAAGCGACTAAACAGAAACCCTAATCTAGCCCAAAATAATTAAATCCTAATTAAGCCCAAATTAACTCTACTAACTACTCTACTAATAATAGGCCCACACTAGAAAACATAACATAAACTTTATAAAAATAAATAAAACTATAATCGTAGCCCACAACCAGCCCACGGAGGTGGGCCCAAGCCCGTTCCCGACCCTTGCTCTCCCTGCTCTCTATCATACCCCCGGTAAAATACAGAAATTTTTATGGAAAAACCGAATTATCATCAAATGCATGAAAGCCTCCCTTAATTGAATTATCTCTGGAATTATGTCTGGTGTTTCTAGAACTATGTCTGGGTAATTGAGTATTTGAGTATTTGAGTATTTCTAGAATTATGTCTGAAACCCTCCCTTAATTGAATTCCTGCGTGAGCAATTTCCATTTGCAACCAACTTTTAATGAGGGGAGCAAAGGGAAAAAAAGATCAGACTTTAAGTGTGAACAAAACACTTAGATTTAAAGCTCAGAAACAAATTTTAAGATATTACTCCCATTTATCTCATTCTGTATGTCCTAGTAACTACCATATGGTCAACCAAACTCTCTTTTATCCTCTAATTTTCTCCATGTGATACTAAAATTCAGTTTTTGGGGTATAAGCTGTTTACACAAATTTATAGTTTCATTTTAATAAATTGCTTCAAATAGGACAAAAACATAGGCAAAAAACAAAATAGGAGTACTTATGTTATATTCCCAAAATAGGACTTAATCAATCTTATTAAAATTATAAAAACATAATTAGGAGTGAATGTGACATGAGCCCTATTTTAGGTAGAAAACTATGGTGATCTTATTTTCAATTCTGTAAATTTAAATTAGTAACACTTAACTAAATATTATTACCTGAAAAATTAACTTTAACTTTGGTTAAGCATGATAAATCCGAAAGAGCTCTTTACTTGGGGAAGAGCCGAAGAGGGAGTATTAAAGGGATGAAGTTTATCAGTATTCACTAGACTGATGATAGGCAAGATCAAGTCATCCCTCATCCACATCCAGCATGACTTTATGTTTAGTGAAGTTCAAAAGTAGCTGTGAAGAATCTATTACCATTTGTAATAGAACTATTATTGTACTAGTATTATTTTATTTACATCTAGACTCTAGTCTCTAGCACAACATTCACAAGGAAAAAGAAGCATATCCCATCACACTATATTGGAATCTTTGATTGGCATGAGTTTGCTGATACTTAGTACAATGTGACTGTAAGTAGGAAGTAATATAGTATTGAGCTCGTTCAAGTGTTTGACATCTTTCTATTGTCATTTTTATAGGAGATAAAATGTCGGTGTGGAATTCAAACGAAGAGTAGCAGTAACCTTCATAGCAGTAACCTTCAAAAGTTGCAAGTGGATAAGGTTTTGCACAATAGGTAGGAATAAAGAGAGAAACCAAACCTCTTCAACAGCCTTCTCTCGTAAGCGCTCAGACAACTTCAGAGCCTTGATCTCCGCTTGAGCCTCAGACAATTCCCGCTCCTTGTCTGCACAATGCAAAATATCACCCCATCAATCAAGCTAACGCCGGCAATCGAGCAAAGTTACACCAGATCCAACTGACACTACTGACCTCTGATATCGTTCTCAAGTCGATTGAGCTCCATTTTCACCGGATCCGAGCCATGCAGCAGATTTATGAACTCATCAGCTTCGAGGCTCCGCCTCATAGACGCTCTTCTCCTCAACGGCTTTCCTTCCTTGTACGACGCCGACACAGACAGCTGCTCCGCCGCCGCCGCTGGTCGCGCATTGCATCCATCCTCACCGGAGCTCACTTCAGGCGCCCCAGCCGCACTTCTCTCGCCAGGAGCCTCTGCCATCTCCCGATCTCCTTTTACCTCCGCTCCAATATAGCATCAAACAGGCAAACCACCGGGAATACACGAACACTGAACTTCAGTGACTGAAGTGTGATTGAAGAGTAGAACCACAGAGAGATATCGAGATGAGGAAGAGATTAAGGCTGGAAAATTCAGAAGAAAAGTTGCATTAATGGAGAGACTCACTGCTAGACTGATTCTTTATCTCCCTTGAATTCCAGCAGTTCAATAAAGTATAGCTGGCCACAAGTGGGGTTGAGTGGAGAGAGAAAGAAGAGTGAATTCTGGACACATTTGCTTGAGTAGTTTCTGCGTAAGGAATTTCTATGCGGAAATTTGTGTTTACAATTTACGAGGGCGTTGTAGCCCACACAAAATAGAAAACATCCTTTAAAACTTGTTTAAGTTTTACTAACATGAAAATTAATAAAGAAAAAATTTTGTGGTTGAAATTTGTGCAGAAAAGAGAGAATTAATTTGAATTACAGAATTTTTATTTAAAATGAAAAGTGACAAAGTTAGTGTGACAACCAAAAAAAGAAATATAACAAAATTTTAAGAGATGGAACAAGTATTTTTTAATTAGGGTCAGTTTTGTTGTACGCAAAATCTGTACAAAAAATGTAAATTGTTTAGATAATTGGTAAACAATTATTGGTCAGTTATGTTAGTGAATTAGGGGACAATTAATGAATTAGATTAGAGGTATTAAAGGTAGAACATTAATGTTTAATCATATTGATGAAATTGTGTTTAGTCAGATTTGTGTCATTGTGTTTATATTTAGTCTTATTTAGAACAAATACTATAAATAAATCAAGGTCAGGAATGTAATCCTATGAATTCAGTGAAATCACATTTGGTGACTATTGTTCTGGTGTGGGAAATCACACGCATTAAGGAACGAAAAACAAATCTCACAAATGAAATATTTCCTCTATTGGGATTGGAACTTGGTCTCTCTAAGTTATTACAAATATATGTTGAGCTAACACGTCTAACTATAACTCCTATGAACTGTTGAGGCAATTTACATCCTATCTTCTTCCCTTAAAACTTTGTTACTTTCCATTTTAGGTCCAGAATTTGTGGTTCCCAAATTTGTGGTTCCGGTTAATTCTCTTTTCTCTACACAAAATCAATCTCACAGTTTTTACTTTATTAATCATTGTGTCGGTTAAACTTGATCAAGCTTTAAGGGACGGATGGAGTATATAATACCAACCAATGCTTTTTTTAACAAAGGAAATACATGAGGAGTCAAGAGGGAGAAAAAAGCGAAAAAGAAGAAACAACAAAAAGGGAAACGAAGATAAACAAACAAACCGTCCAGGAGACCCAAAGAGTTCAATCCAAACAGTATAACTCCACTTGTGATTGCGATCTAGTCTTCATGGTATGCGATCGCTGGTGCCTTTTCCTGTATAATTTGATTTGAGTATTTAAGTTTGATGCAGGCAAACAACTATCCTTTGTGACCAGTCTCGCTTTAAAACAAATATCGTGATTGATATCGGAGTCCCATGGATCTTCCCTTGATGACAGAGGAGTCCTCTTCTCGCTTTCTGAAGCATGACCGAGAAAACCATCTCTTGAGAATGGATAGATCTACTCAGTCTCAAGCGCAACAAAATGATGATTACCAGTAAACACGTCTCACAAAGAATTGACTTCCATATTATCGTGGTTAATAACGTTTCCTTCTTCTTCAGTGTGTCTATAAATTGAGCCATGATCACCCATAAAAGAAGCAATGATCCTCTCGAATTCTCCAATTAAAAAAGCAGAAAGAGAGTCCACCCCATTAGTCGTGATGTTTTGAAAGTAATTTTTAATGATTGCTAAAGAAGGGGTGAATTCTCGCCTAGGCTCAGAGCTTTGAGATTCCTCAACGTAATTTAGCACCATATATTTGTCATAGTACGTAACATAATGCTCGATATCAACTTGTAACAATAATCCCGAGATAGAGAATCATTTGCATTGGAATAGATCCCATCAGACCATGGAGTTAGAATCCACGTTCTCTGAAATATTATTACTTGAGGCATGTTCAATCGCCAGATGTGGCGAGGTGACATCTAAGTTACGCATAAAAGAGATTGATTTAGATAGTCCAGTAAAAAATCGTTAAATCCCAATCCATTATGTTGTTCAGGAATAAATGAGGAATCTTGTCCCTTGTCAATGATGCGGATAAGCCCACCGAAGAAATTGGCATCATAAAGAACACATAAGGGATTATTCAGCTGTATTCGGGAACCAGACCAATGGTCAGACAAGAGTTTAGGGAATGAGTCAAAAAACTTTTTCCAAATCAAGCTCGATAGTAGAAGATATTCCATGTTTCGTCTCTGATATGCATAAATTGCTACCAAAATTCTTGAATTGAAAGAATTTACTTTCTATTAAAATGTTAAACCCATTAGACTGAAAATCGGAACTACCACACTTAATTTTTACTCGTGGCGTGTGATTCTACTGATGCCAATTCAGCTTGTAAGAACCATCTGTTACGTTGGGAGGATGCAAGCAGCGCTGAAATTTGACCAGACGTTTCTTAGAGATGATGTCCCGCCGCCGCTGAAGGGGAAGTCTTCCGGCCGACGCAATTGGTCGTCCTATTCGCCTCAAGTTTGACTGACCCCATCTTTTGTAATCTTGCCAGCAGTGAGGGTCCTCGAATGCAGCCTTATCGCATCAAAATCCTCTTCATTGGTGGGTCTGGACCCGAGCTCCTAGAGTCATCCGCCATCGGTCTTGTGCAAGCATCCTCGTCCGGTTGCAACTGCTAGTCTCACGTGCAGTTCCTCCATCAAGAAACCCCCATTTGTGAACTGGTAAATCTTGCTCTCTCGCCTCTATAGTTGTGGACCCTCTATGCGCATCTGAATTCATTCCCGTCTGTCGTAGGTTATCGCCTGAGAGTTTTGTTGAGATGGAACATCATCTTGCCCGAAGTGGACAACGATGATGCCAAGAGTGATGGAGGGTGGTTGCTCCTTATTCACTGTATCCCTACCTGCCAGAGCGCTGGCAGATTCAACGGATTCCCTAACGGTCGCCAGAGCGTCGAACCCTGGCTCTCACTCCGCCGGTTCTTCACCAATATAGATTTATTTGAGGGTGAATAATATTTATAGATAATTCAGTTCCAACTAATGCTATATACTCATTGTGAGTTTTGATTGAAGTTTTGAATTTATTTGCTGAGTGACCGTTATTTTATGAATATGTGACATTATTTTGTCACTAACCATTTTGTGAACTTTAATTAAGATATCATTATAAAACATAAATTTATGATTTGACTTATTAATGTCAAATTGTGAGTTTCCTTTATCTATTTTTCAAATAAATTATATTTAATTGTTTTATATAGTTTACAAGTTATGTCTTAAATTTTAAATTCATATATCGATTTATCAAAAAGATGCTTTTAACAAATTTGCTTACAAATTGGGAAGGATAGCGAACATGGTATATACGCAAACCAACAATTGCGATTGGCGTGGTAACTTGCAACGGTGCATGATTTTGACATGAGCAATGTGAATGGATGCGCACCTCAAGTGGGACTACACATTAATTCTAATATGTATAATCAATGTTATTATTTAGCTGATGAGATTTAATTTACTCTTATGAAAAACTTTTGTTAAGACAACAAGTCACTATAAGAAAAATTTCGCTACAAAGAAAGAGGCATGTTGTAAATATATCAAAAGGGGGCTTGATACACGTTGCGATGAAACACAAAATTAGGAGATATATGATTGCAGTTATCATACACCACATGATTGTATAAGAGCATACACATTACAAAAAATACAAGAACTAATGAAGTACTATATTTGTGCAACTGTTAAATTGGATACTAATAATAAAAGAATGAATGTGCATGATCATATGATGTGACGAAAACATATTCATGACTCTTTAGTCCGCTCCTCTCTAAAAATGATCTCAACAATCATTTGTGGTAACATCATGGCAGCGGATTGTATCGAACTAAATTTATGTGCATGTGTAATGCCTTTTGTTTTTTTAATACGTATGGTGTGCTTTTATTTACCATTTTCTTATGGGTGAGGTATTGTCACACACGACTTGTATTAATAAAAAACACGAAAACTAATAATAAGTAGAATCAACAGCCTTAACACTAAATAATCTTGAGTGTATCATATGATTGCATTGTGATGTTCCCTAGCCTGCTTCTTTTTCTTTCTCACTAAATATTTGAAAAGGTCAGCGGCATAGTGTCAAAGTTGTTATTCCTACTTTCTACTTCGATAGCTTTTGAAGTCATCACATTCACCTCTTTTTTGCCATGTTCTCACTTGAGTTGATCATTTATTGAAAATATATAATCAGTCATTGTGGTGTCCATTTACAACATCTTTTCTTTTTATTTTCTATCCGGCTTTGTTTGTCCCCCAACATCTATACTTTTACTTGATGTCTTGATGCACTAGTCCCGTATGAGAGAGAGCTATCTCTACCGCCCCTGAAATTATTGATGGTACCATTCGGAAATTATTGAATGATAGGTCAAACATGATCAAACTTAAATGTTTTCTATGACGATCATTAATTCATAATATAATTACTTTTGTTTTGTAATCCTCTAATTTTAAAAAATGCAAAAAATAAAGATAAACCCATCAAAGACCCTTGTATATCACCTCCAATACATCAATTAAGTTCTCATACATTTTAGTACTCAATCAAATCCACCAACTTTTGAAACGTCCTAAATGGGTTTTTAGTCTCTAGTCCGTAGACACCTGATTTGCCGATTAACTGTTTGTTGGCTACTGATGTGACTGTAATTATCGATGTAACTTGTAAACACTGTGTATTAACTCGTACTCCTCCGAGTCTCTTTCAATGATCATTCCCCCAAAAAATGATGTGACACTAACTTTGAACTTTGATGCATTTTGTTTGAATTGTGGAAGAAGCTCGAAGTGGCATCGATTACACATTGACATTTCTTTTGGTCCATGGAAACTTTATTAGAAAATATCAGTTTTTGTATATTCTATCTATATTGAATTTCAATTGTCTTCTTTTTGGTTGAACGTAAATAAAATAATCAACTACTCCCTCCGTCCCGTTGGAATATTCCCGTTCGGTTTACGATGCTTGACTGACGATAAAGCAACTCGATCCATGTTCACACTCCGCTTATTTTTAGTACAAAAATTTACATATTCAGAAACTACATTAAAACCGCTACAAAGCCTGATCAAGAAAAGTTCAATTTGATAAAAATTTGATATATAAAATAAAAGATTAGGAGTGACCTAAATTGACCAATGAATAGTGAAT